ACTGGTACTGCTCGAGAGTACTTCACTGGTTCTGACCCCAAGGAAGATATCATGAATTCCTTCTGAAATCACTTGGAATCATATGATGGGGCCTTGCACCAGATGGACAGTTTAGTCATTGGTACCCCTTCCACTTCATTTGCGTCTACATCAGGTAATGCAGCCTCTGCCTTCCATGTATCCATAACTCCTGATTCCCCCTGGATCGTTGACTCAGGGGCCTCCAACCACATGACCGGTAAGCCAAACCTTTTTCAGTCTTATAACCTTTTGTTAGGAAGGGATAAGGTGAGACTTGCAGATGGATCATTCTCCTCCATTGCAGGCCAAGGATCAATATCCCTTCCTCATGGACATGAATAATGTTTCGCATGTTCCTCAACTTCCCATCAATCTACTTTCCATTAGTAGTATCACAAACTCTTTAAACTGCAGTGTGACCTTTTTTCCTGGTTCATGTGTTTGTTAGGATCTAACTTCTGGGAGGACGATTGGTAGAGGAAGCTTAGTGGATGGTCTCTACACTCTTGACAACAATGACGGTTTCTCTGTGTCATCTTCAGAGTCGCATAGTCAATAAAATAAGAGTCTAATTTTTTTGTGGCATAATCGGTTAGGTCATGTGTCTTTTGAAATAATGAAGTCTTTGTTTATTTAAGTCATGTTTAGTATCAGATTTCCAATGTCAAGCATGTCAATTGAGTAAGCAATGTAGAGCAACATTTCATTCAAGTAATAAAAGATCAAATTTCCCTTTCCATATTGTGTATTTTGATGTGTGGGGGCCTACTACTATAACTTCGGAGGGCGGGTATAAGTACTTTATCACATTGATTGATGATTTCTCCCGTTATACATGGGTGTTTCCCATGCGTAGTAGAAATGAAGTTCCAAAGGTTGTGCGGGATTTCCAAAGGATGGTGTTTACACAATTTCATGTTGAAATTCAAAATTTTCAATCAGATAATGCAAAGGAGTATTTCCATAGTGAGCTCAATGAGTTCTTTGCTTCCCATGGATCCATTCATAGGAGCTCATATGCAAGAACACCGCAACAAAATTGTGTTGTAGAGAGAAAGAACAGACACCTCCTTGAGGTTGCATGAGGGATGATGTTACACATGAATGTACCAAAACGTTTTTGGATAGATGTTGTATTGACTGCTGCTTATGTCATCAATCGCATGCCTTCCAGAGTGCTGAACTACAAGGCTCCTCATCAGTTGTTGTTTCCCCAATCTCCTTTGTTCTCCATTCCCATGAGAGTTTTTGGTTGTTGTGCTTTTGTCCATGATTTATCTCCATCTCGTGGTAAGTTAGACCCTCGGTCTATTCCATGTATCTTTCTGGGGTATCCCTCTACTCAAAAGGGTTATCGGTGCTTTGATCCCATTGCTCATAAGTTCTTTGTCTCTATGGATGTCTCATTTTTTGAGTCTAAACCATTCTTCCCTACTTCCCCTTAGGGGGAGAGTAGCATGGAAGAGGAGAAGCAAGTCCAGGTCCAGGTCCGTCAAGTCTCTCTTCCTTCTATTCCGGATCCTACTCCTTTTAGTGTCTTCCAACGTACACGCCGTAGAGATCAGCAATGTGACAAAGATGTAGAGCCACCAAACACAGAGCAACCAACACCTTCAAACTCCTAGGAGGTAAGTCCAAATGAACTAGGTACTATCCCACCTGTTGATACCCCAGCTCCCTCTTCAGTTGTGGATGACCTTGACATTCCTATTGCTCAAAGAAAGGGAATCAGGTCATGCACTACCAAACACCCCATTACCCAGTATGTCTCCTATGACCAAATTTCCCCCCTCTTATCATGCTTTCCTATCTGCAATTGATAACATACCTATACCCAGAAATGTTGCAGAGGCTTTAAAATACCCTGAATGGACAGATGCTATGAAGGAGGAGATTAATGCCCTCCATAAGAATTAGATTTGGGAGTTGGTGGATCTTCCATGGGGGAAGGACCCAGTAGGGTGCAAGTGGGTGTTTACAGTGAAACACAAGGCGGACGGGACAGTTGAAAGGTACAAAGCAAGGTTGGTAGCAAAAGGGTACACTCAAGTCTATGGTGTTGACTATGATGAGACGTTTGCTCCAGTAGCTAAGATGAACTCAATTCAGGTTCTTCTATCATTGGCTGCAAACCTTGACTGGGAATTACATCAGTTGGATATAAAGAATGCCTTCTTAAATGGTGACTTGGAGGAGGAGGTCTATATGGTTCAACCCCCAGGGTTCTATGCCAAAGGGAGTGAAAATAAGGTGTGCAAGCTAAGAAAGTCTCTCTATGGTTTAAAACAATCTCTCAGGGCATGGTTCAGTAAATTTCATATGGTGGTCCAGCAAGTAGGATTCAAACAATGTCAGTCTGATCACACTCTCTTTGTGAAGAGATGTCAGGAACAGGTTATTGTACTGATAGTGTATGTGGATGATATCATCATTACAGGAAACTGGAGCTCAGAAATACAAAGGTTGAAGACATTCCTAGCCTCTAAACTTGAAGTGAAAGATCTGGGTCCACTAAAGTACTTTCTTGGAATTGAAGTTGCCCGCTCAAAAAGGGGCATCTTTATTTCTCAAATGAAGTATGTCCTTGATTTGTTACAAGACACAGGCAAGTTAGGAGCAAAGCCAGCAGATACTCCTATGGATGTAGATCATCAACTGGGTGATTGTGATGGTGAACCTCTAAAAGATGTGAAACAATTTCAAAGGTTAGTAGGAAGGTTGCTCTATTTGTCCATGACACATTCAGACATTGCTTATTCAGTTGGGGTCCTAAGCCAGTTCATGCATTCCCCTAAGAGACCACACATGGAGGCAGCAGAGAGGATTCTTAGGTATTTGAAGAAGTATCGACAAATAGGATTGTTATTCAGTAAACATAATCATCTAAAGGTGGAAGTCTATACAGAAGCTAATTGGACAGGTGATGTGGATGATAGAAAGTCAACAAGTAGATACTGCACATTTGTGGGAGGAAATCTAGTGACATGGAGAAGCAAAAAACAAAGTGTAGTTGCAAGGTCAAATGCTGAAGCAGAGTATAGGGCTATGGTAGTGGCACATGGGGTCGCTGAAGTACTTTGGCTGAAGAATCTTCTAAGGGAACTTGGGATAAATATTCACAATCCTATGTCTCTTTACTGTAACAACAAGGCAGCTATAAATATTGCTAGCAATCATGTCCTACACGATAGGACCAAGCATATTGAAGTGGACAAGCACTTCATAAGAGAAAAACTGGAGAAGGGAGAAATTTGTACTCCTTATGTCAACTCCAAGGAGCAGCTAGCTGATGTTCTCACAAAAAGGCTTCCATACTTGCGGCATAATGAGTTGTGTGACAAGTTGGGCATGATAGATATATTCAGCCCAACTTGAGGGGGAGTGTTGTTAGAATTAGTTTTTTTATTTCTGCTGTTAGGGTGCTGCTAGTCTAGGATGTTGTCAACATGTTCTTTTCTTTGTTTAAGTTCTTATTATTAGGGTGGGCCACTAGGGGCATGCTTGTAATTTTTGTTTCTTTTATTTTACATCATGTTAATACAAATAGGAAGCCGGTAGCCGCCAACTTGAGTTTTTTTGACTCTCAAACACTTGTTCTCTTCTCTTCTCTCCTCTCCTCTCTCTCTTCTCTCTGTTCAGGAAAGAAAAGACAATGTGAGGTAATATAGAATTACACAGCCAAGACATCACCATGTAATTCTCCTACACCCACAGGGAAGAATTTGTATCATTTCTTCTCCTCCCCAATAATATACCCCAGTTTTCCACAAGCACCAATAGCCATCTTGGCCGGTTGTGCCCATTCTAAATAGTTTGTACCATCCATATTGATTGTAGAAATAACCCCAAATCCAAATGGACCACTAGCACTTCCTACACCCAGACCTAGGTCACTGGCTGATTTCTGCTCAGCACTACAACCCCCCATATCAACTCAAACAGCTTAAAACAACAAAAGGATCAAGTAGAGCACTCTAAGATCAAATCAATCTCACAAAAAAAGGTGGGGAGCTTTTTCGAAAGAAGAAAGCCCTACCAAAGAGAATTCTCCCTTCCCAAAACTGAGAGAAGGAGAACAAGGTGTTGATCTCTCCAGAAGGCTTAGAAAAGCCCAAAAACTGAACCGTCCCCTATAGAAAACTCAAATTTATCTAGGAAAGTCTGAGCGCCCAACACCAAGTCAAAAACAATGAGTCCAACTTGACTAGAACTCTTCCCCGCACTCTAGTCCTTCCTGATTTTGATGCCAAACCATAAATCACCTTCTTGATGACTGAAATCCACCAAAAAATCCAAGAATTGAGCAATCTGAAGCAAATCGATCAGCCCTCTATTCGCTCATGCAGTCGGCTGATCTAGGGCTGCATGAATCAGCATTGAAGGAAGCCTAACTTGGCTCTGATACCAAGTAGAAATCAGCAGAAAAATAATATATATATAGAAAGAAATGAAAGAAAGGAAGAGTTTTGTGTGTGAGAGAGAGAGAAGAGGACTAGAAGGTGATAATGCTGTCCGGCCCTCTACAATTAGTATTTGTACTTTAAACAAAAAAAGGCATGCACAAAGACAAATATGCCCTTAACAGGGCAGCTAATGCTAACAACTTAAAAAGAAGAAAAAAAAAACACTACTTTAACAACTTCTAAATGATGGGCTGTGGTCCCAACTAATTAACTAAACAAATAATAAATAGAAAACAGGTTATTAACAGTAAAATCCTCTACAGGGACAAGGGAGGCGGTGGTTGGATTGGTCAGGTTGTCATAAGAAAATAGTAGTTCAGCTTAAGAAAATGACCAATACAGATATGGCACTATTACTAATTTTACCAAATTATGTTCAACAAATGCCAGGTAGATGGCAGGTTGTGAGGCAACCAACTCTGCTCATAAAATTCAGGTTTTATATTCATAATGTAGTCATTGGCATAAGGAAATGTGTGTTACAAATTGAGGTGACAAGGTGGGAATTACTATTACCAGTGGCCTGTATTTAAGATAAGAATATCATGGAAGCTTGGAGCTTTTGCCCAAGTGCCTTCTGGAACATCAACATCCACCCTGAAACCTTCTTTATACCCAAAGGATTCTAGCACACCACCATTAGCATCAGCTGACCATCTAAGTAGAAATCATTAAGTTAGTATCAATGAATGAAAGCAGCATATTAGATTTTCTTTAATATAACAAGATTTTCTCAATAGAATGGTAGAATTAAAAAAATGAAACAAACTTAGAAAAAAATTATGTTTCTGAGTTTTCATCACACATAGGAAAGAGGAAGAATTCCCAATGCTGCTCATGATTAGTGACTCCCGGTCCCATATAGAGAAGCCCGAAGAATTTTATGCAACAGAAAATATGTCAAACACTGCACACCATATCAATGATGGAATAATTTCCCACCATGCCACATTTTTAGTTTGATGATGGATTTCCTTTTCCCCAGTGGTTATTTTGTCATTTTCCTTTCTTAATTTCATTTTAGATTTTTTTCTTGGGAGGTTAATATAGATTAAGATTTAATAAAAGTCTCATAAGCAATTAGATTTCCAATTAGGATCCATGGCACAGTAATGGCCAATATATCATTGACCATGGTGTTGCTTTCCCAAATGACCAAGTGCAACACATACAAAAATAAAAATGCACAGACAGATATGTACAAATTTATGTTACAGAACAGGGCATGCACTTCCTTCAGATTCCCCAGAACAGCATAAAACATGATTCAGATTCAATTGGATATTTATTACACTACAGAAAATTATAATTTAATATTTTACATATAAAATTATCTGTTTAGTTTGTAAAGTTGTACCCCAGTAGTTGAAAGGTCTGTGCTCACACACATAACAAGACACTCAGGCATACATCAATGTATATATGTATGGAGAAACAGACTGATCACAAGAAAGGCTTACTTATTATACACATAAATGAGATGTGTGTTAAATATGCCACTTCATTCTTATTGATTAAGATAGGTTTAAATGACCTTAAATACAATGCACCTTTTGACCTAAACTGCAAATTCAATTCCAATCTTCTCTCAGGGACTTGTTCTCCTCTCTGTATTCTTTCTCTACTTTACCAAAAAAAAAAAAATTCAAAATTTGTGGCTTCTATTTCCCCTTCCTCATCATGGGTTAACTGGGATTTGGGGTTTTGAAGAGGTTTGAGGGATGAGGAAACTACCAACATAATCAACTTGTTAAAGATCCTAGATGAAATGTGCTTAGGCCTTTCAAAACCAGATAGGCGAATTTGATCTCCTTACCCCTTGGGTCTTTTCACTTGTGCTTCTTTCTTTAGGGCTCTTGGACATCCCCCTAACCCTCAATTTTCTTTCCCTATCAAATAAGTGTGGGATATGCCCATTCCTCTTAAAATCGGGGCACTTTGCTGGGAGGTAGATCATGAAAAGATCAATACTTTAGACCTGCTACAAAATAGAAGACTGAACTGGTGTTTATCCCCAAATTGGTATATACTTTGCAAGACTAATGGTGAGACTTGTTTTCATTTACTAATATCTTGCCTTTTTGTTGCTTGTATTTGAGAAAGTTTTTTTTTTTATAGTTGAAATTGATTTCATTAATCAAGCATAATAAAACTTTACAGATGTGATTCAGACCAATAAAACATAGTAAAATATTTCAGATTATAGCAGAAGAGGAAGAGAAGAAGAAGAAGACAGCAAGAAGAAGGAGTTCGATAATCTCCTCTTTCTCCTCTCTAATCTTTTATTAATCTCACTAAGATTAAATAAATTACAAGTCTGCCCTTAAGTGGGCGTCCACCTCATCAGCATACTAAGAAAACATAAAAAGAATTAAAGGCCCATTAAGACCAAATAACAAGAAAGAACTAATCACTAAGATAGTAATGGGCTAGGGCCCATTCGGCCCAGCCTCTCTACACTCCCCCTCAAGCTGAGCATAGATATCAATCATGCCCAGCTTGCCTATATAGTGAACCAACTTTCCTTTGGGAACACCTTTTGTCAAAACATCAGTCAACTGTTATTCATAAGCAATAAATGGCAGGTAGACTTCTCCTAAAGCAACTCTCTCCCATATAAAGTGTCTATTAACTTCTATGTGCTTAGTTCCGTCATGCTGAACAGGATTATGTGCAATGTTGATAGCGGCTTGGTTGTCACAATATAACATCATTGGCTTCTCATAGTCTATACCCAATTCTTCTAAAAGTAATCTCAACCACAAAAGTTATGAAACTTCGTGTGCCATTGCCCTATACTCTCCTTCAGTCGAGGATCTAGCTGCTATAAACCGCTTCTTACTCCTCCATGATACAATGTTCCCTGCCACCATAGCACAATAACCTGAAGTGGACCTCCTATCATCAATACATACAGCCCAACCAGCATCAGTGTATGCTTCCAGCTTCATGTGTCCATGCTTAGCAAACAAGATACCTTTCCTTGGAGTCCCTTTTAGAAAACACAGAATCCTCTTAGCAGCTGCTAAATGTGTATCTCTAGGAGAATGCATGAACTGATTAATTACATTAACTGCATAGGAAATACCTGATCGAGTCATGCAAAGATATAATAACTTCCCAACCAGTCTCTAGAACACTCCCCTATCAGTTGACAATTCACCATCAATAGCTGACAACTTATGATTTAGGTTTATAGGAGTAGAAGTTGGTTGAGCACCCAATTCGCCAGTCTCTGCAAGAAAATCAAGAACATACATTGAGAAATGAAAATACCATCCTTAGACCTGGCAACTTCAAATCCCAAGAAATATCTGAGTTCACCCAAGTCTTTAATCTCAAACTCAATGTTAAGAAATCTTTTGAGATGAGTAACTTCCTGAGTATCACTACCAGTAACCACAATATCATAAACATAGACAATTAGAAAGGTCATTAAGGAATCTCTCCTCTTAACAAACAAGGTATGATCAAACTGAGTTTGTGCGTACCCAAAAGTAACAAGGGCAACTCGAAATCTGTCAAACCATGCTCTACGAGATTGCTTAAGGCCATAAAGGGACTTCTTCAATTTATAAACTTACCCTTGCATCTCCTTCCCATACACCCCTGGAGGTAAAGACATAAACCTCTTCATGTAGGTCCCCATTCAAGAAAGCATTTTTAACATCGAATTGATTAAGTGGCCAACCAAAAGTAGCAGCTAAAGATAACAAAACTCGAATTGAAGTCATTTTGGCCACTGGGGCAAAAGTCTCTAGGTAATCAATACCATACATCTGAGTGTATCCTTTAGCAACCACACAGGCTTTAAATCTTTCAATAGTACCATCTAAATGATACTTGATAGTGAATACCCACTTACAGCCAACCAATTCCTTTCCCTCAGGCAAATCCACAATTTCCTAGGTATTGTTCTTATGCAAAGCATCTAATTCAATCATCATAGCATCCCTTCATTCTAGTTTGGATAAGGCTTCTAGGACAAATTTGAGAGTCACATGTGTGGAAACAGAGGCAAGAAATGAATAGTAGGTAGGGGAAAGAAGGTTGTAGGACAGGTGTTTGGAAATGCAATGAGTTGTACATTTCCATTTGCCTTTGCGAAAAATAGAAGTGGTAGAAGAGGGCTGACCTATTACCTCAATAGTGATGAGAGGTGCAAGAGGATCATCTGAAGATGTGGAAATAACTTGCACATCATTGAGTCTTTGTCTCTAGTACCATCTGTGGAGAATAGGATGGGAAGAAAATGTGGGAGGATGAGCAGGACGAGGGGGAGCAAGAACATGAGAACAAGACCCAATAGAAGACTCGATGAGAGGAGACTCAATAGAAGACTCAATGAGGATTGGAAGAGGGACAAATGGTGACAACGCACACAACTCTTCTAAATGCTCCCCCTTAGGAGAAGTACCAAAGAAAGGAACAGATTCAGCAAATGTGACATCTCTAGAAACAAAGCGAGTACCACGAACCAGATCAAAACAACAATACCCCTTTTGTGTGGAGGCATATCCCAAGAAGACACACTTGTGTGCTTTAGGCTTAAACTTATGTCTTTGTCTCTCTAATGACTGTGAACATTAACATAACAAGTGCACCCAAACACTCGGATAGGAAGAGAGAAGATATCCTCATTTGGAAATAGAAGGTTAAAAGGGGTTTTAAAACCCAAAACTTAGGAAGGCATCTGGTTTATCAAGTATGTAGTTGTAAGGATAGGTTGGACATCATCCCCCCAAAACATAACAACTGTAATCTTAGGAGTTGTACTCGAAGTAGCAAAGGAGAGAAGAGAAACTCTGAAATGCAGTGAATGTCGAACTGTACTAGTCAGTCGACCATGCTATTATTTATATATGAATGTAGTACAAAGTACAAGAAATTACTGGGATGCCCCTGATTAGTGATAGGACACCCAAATGACTTAAATCATTAAACAGGATTAGACCCATTAACACAGGCCCAATTACAAGATAAGTTAAACACAAGTATGGGCTAATAAGAACTCTTATCATCCGAACATCACTCTAACATTCTAACACTCCCCCTCAAGCTAAGCATGGATATCAATCATGTTTAGCTT